AAATCACATGGCTAATAACTTATAAAAAATTTATTTAAATTTTTATTTTTAAGCCGTGCAATATTTTTGTCCCCCCCCCGGTAGCAGAATGATGAATTCGTTGTTGTGGTTTTATTTCGCAATTTACTTCAATTAATCTTTGAATTATTAACCATATTATATTAAATATTAAATAATTCCTTGACATGATTTGGTAATGTTGGATTTTTATTAAAACAAAAAATTAAAAACGTTAAAAAAACAAAAAAAAAAAAAAAAAAAAAAATGTAAAAAATGTAAACAAAAAATAAATCCTAGGTATTATATAGATTTTTAAAATGATGTATTTTAATTCTTTTATCTGTAAAAAGTATATAATTTTATATTAGAGTAACGTTTTCGAAAATTAATAATGATTTATTTTTAATACATTTTTCGTTTTCGTAAATGTTTAATACCTATCTTTGTGTAATTAATAATCAATTTATAGAATGAATCAATTTCATACAGAATATTAAACTGTAATGTGATTTTATTCTGAAAGTTATGACTGATTTCAGACGAAAATCAATTTTTTCATGTGATCATCTAATCAAATGATTATTTTTTGCTGATCACTTCGGTCTAAAGCTTCAAAAAAATCACTTATTTTGATGAAAATAAAATGGAAAAAGTAATTAACTAAAAAATTTTATCTATTAGTATGCCAAGACTACAAATATAAAAATTTTAAATAATTGTATTACGAATTATTGTAAAAAAAATTGGCATATCATGATCGAGTTGAAATAGTTTTTATAAGTTGTCTTCAATTACTAAGTATTCTGGGGACTTGGAAATTAGAGAGAAAAATGCTAATTGTCACAATTATATGTCACCCCTAATAAGTATATGTGACCCGGCAAATAAAATCCGGCTACCATTTTTTTACGGGCGACGCTAGGGCTGTTCACTATATAAAGTGACACCATCTATCAAAGATTGGATTTAGAAAATTCACTTAGAATTAAATACTGACAAGGAAATGGATGCAGATAATTGTATAGTTGAGAAACTGATAGTTATAAACCGAAAGTTGAGAATTACAAAGAAGAATTTTAGATGCATTAAAAATATTATATTAAAAAGTTTTGAATTCTAACTATTTAAATTATTTAGAATTTTCTAGTCAAACTCTTACTTTTATAAATTCATATCAAACTTTACATGATATTACTAATATTTTATCAAATTTCTTCTAATTTGTTTATAATAATAATTTTTTATTGCAACCAAAGTATAATATTAGTTAAAAAATTTTAACCATACTGCAAAATATGATAATTTAACATATCATTCTTGCATGTCATTTTTTTTTAACCTTTTATAATTGATTTTAAATTATTTTTTTATTTATTTCTTTATTAATTAAATACAAGAATTATTATCTTAACGTTTGAAATTGCTCGCTTTTTGTATAAGTATACTAATTAAACAAGGTTAAAATCGGTCAAAATCAGATCAGTTACTCAACCAGTCGGTCAGAACTGACCAATATTGGTTACGGTTATGACCGATCCAAGTTTGAAGAAAAGGCGCAGCAATTGGTGACAATAGAACATTTTTTAAAACCGTTTAAACATAGACGTTTGTATATAGAAAACTTATGTAACAGAATAATGATCATTAATTTGATTAAACATGAACATTTTCAGCTTTCATGTAGTCGAAGCTCCTTCATTTGGATTATTTATTACGTCAGGTAAAAAACGTTGATTATTTGTATTATTGAATTTATAGCGGTTTTTTGTGATAATGCCTGTTCATGATCTCAAAAGTAATTATGTCACATTCAAAAAAGCCTTCATACTTTTTTTTTAAAAATTTTTTAAACAAAAAAAAAAATTTATAACAATTGAATTTGATCTTACATTAATTATATGCTGCAAGCCCATCATTTTTTATTCTGGTCAAAAAGAAAACTGTTTCATGAGCAATGAATTATGTAAACTCAATTTTTGTAAAAGAAAAAAAAAGCGAGTTACTTTTTTATAAATCCTGAGTTACGTGACAAATCTTCTGGATTTTACAAACCATGTAACTAGCCATACATGCGAAAAATCAACTATACAATACAATACCCTTAATAACTCAAAAAGACTAATCATACATAAATTCTATAGATCTACAAAAAAAGAAAAAACATGATTTCTCAAAAAATTAAATTGTAAAAAACGCCACTAGACTTAATATATGAAACACCATAGACAAAACAAACTTAACCGAAAATTCAATTGTTCTGAAATAAAAACAAATTCCATTATCAACATTCTTTGGAATGTATATAAACACAAGTTATTAATTCACGAACGAAAATATAAAAAAAAATTCGCCTTATTATATGAAAAATGGATGGTTTAAATAATTCTGATTTAGGAACGATACATAATTTTCAAAGTTTGGAATCGAAATTTATGGACGATGACGACGATTATTTGGCTACAAGTCCGAACGGGAATCTTGCTGTGACTTTTAATCCTGTTTGTATTTTAAAATTGATTATATTTCCTTTCAATTTGACTTTTTCATTGAATTCACCACTAATTTCATTCAATCGACTTATCTATGATTTAGAATCTTATGTACTTAAAATTTACTACGTTAACAACTTAACCGCTCTTATAATTTACATTATGATGAAATGAGAAGATTGAATTTACCTTCTGTGAAGGTATCTTTTTCTTTGGCTATTTCCGATTCCTCAAATGTCCGAGAAAATGAAGAAGATGCATTCGTTGCCGTTTCGTGTTTTTGCGATAAAGATATGATGTCAGATGATGATTCGGTCGAAAATTCAAGAAATCTTCCAGATGCGGAAAAGGGGGATGATTTTAAAACAGAAATTTCAGCGGAAACATTTGTCTTTTTCAGTGAAATCAAAAAAAACGTATCGAAACTACTATAGATAAGCGCGGTGGGATCGTTAGATTTTTAAATAACAATTCGGTAAATGAATCAAATGGATTCACTAATCTAATTGTCATGAACGCTTCTGGAATTGCAAAAGCATTTATCGATCATAGGAATTCTTACGTTATCGATCTATCAAATTTTTCGGTCGCGCAAGTATATGAATTTCCAACATATATTCAAATGAAAATTGATAAATTATATCATAGCTTAGCTTGTACAGATTTTTTAAATTCTTTAGTTGAACAAAATTTTTTATTTGTTGAAGATGATAACAAACAGAAACTTGAAATGTTTAATTTACAATCCTTGGATTTAGAATTGACTTTTCATAAAAGTTTTCTTCCAAATAAAGCGAAAAATTCTATTTTTTCCACTTCAAAGCATGGTCATTTGTTAGCATATTATAATGGTAATAGCTGTATACGATTTATCTAATGGAAAATGGACTTGAGGTTGCGAGGAAAGAATTTGATGATGCGATCATCCTTTTTATTTCATTCATTAAAAATGATGAAAGATTATTCGTTGTCACTGAGAATGAGAATGTCGCGAAAGAAGTTGAGATAAGGATTTGGATCGTTTACCTTTAAAAATGATGTAAAATTTGTCAATCATTCAGACATTTTCAATTCCTCACAAAAATATAATAATCATTAAATCGTTTTTTCAAGTGGAATAATAATTGCATTTACAAGTGGAATAATAATTGCATTTACAAGTGGAATAATAATTACATCTTCAAATGGAGTTGTAACTTCAATTACCATTAATCAAGATCAAATAAATGCATTGAAACATGACTATAAAGTATTTATCGATAACCTATTTATCTTGATGATGAACAAAAAAAAGATGAATTTTTAATTGGAACTCCTCCAATTACCATTAATCAAGATCAAAAAGATACATTGAAATATGAAGAATTTAACGATAAAAATGAACCCTGGGCTCAACATATGAAATATAATCCTAACCCTATTTATTTTGATGAAGAACAAAATGATGAACTTTTAATTGGGAAGACAACAGTTCAAATTTGGAGAAAAAAGAAAGTTTTAAAATATATTTGGGTAAATCCAAGTAACAAAATGATTAATGTTTATTCTTTAAAGATTGGAAAAGGTGAATTTTTTTTAGATTTGTCATGGCCTTCAATTTCTGCTAATGTACGTCAAAAAGTAAACATTCATTGGCCAAATGAAGCTCATGTCCTCAAAGATGCATGCGTTGCTATGGAGTATCTAAACGCACGAAGTTACGAAATTGTAGGGCGGGTAAATCTAAGAAAATACATAGATTTGGTTGAATGCACGGAAAAGCTCATTAAAAAATGCATCAAAGAAAATCCGGATTTATGGAGTTTGTCTGAAGTTCGAAATGACATTATGGCCAATATCATCCGATCAAGGAATTTAACATTGTTGTATGAGATTCTATTCGAACATAAAGCGATGTCAATAAACAAGATAAAACGAGAGTTAGTTGTATCTTGCATATACCAACTCAATATAAATAGCCTATGAAGGAAGAAGAATGGTGGCCTATGGAAAAGGAAACAGTGATTTGATTATTGCTATTAATGAATCTTCCGGTGGACATCGGAATGATACAGTTATTGTCGCCATGTTGCTTGAATATTATTCAAATAATGCGGAAAAGGATACGAGTGAGTTAGTTGATTTTTCGTACGGGATTCCGAAATTTATCACTAAAAAAAAAAATTCTGTCGACGATAGGTTGGATGTTTACATTGATAAAGGCTCTTCCTTCTCTTAACAATCCTAATTTGGTATGTAAAGGAACATATCCTCACTGCGTGGCTTGTTTAATCTATATCTAAAATTATACTTGTATCATTTAAAAACAGAAAACTTATTTAAATGAGTTATTTTATAAGCCTTGCTTTGGATTCAAAGAACTTATAGACTCAAAATTTGTGAAGCCAGGTAAATTGAAAAAGGATATAAAACGGAAATTTGTTCATTAAATCTGAGACCACGAATATTATTGAATCAAAATGAGTCTTCATTGTGGAATAAATTTAAGTTTAAGAAATTGAAAGAAAGATCAAAAGTAACTGATGATGAGGTCACACTAACGAAAGTACGCGTAGTTCCGTTACCAGATTTTACAATCTATCCAACAAAGTCGATTGATAGAACACATAGTAATTGGATGATTACGTTAAAACTTATCAAACTCATATTTTGGCCAAGAGGTTATTTGGTTCGAAGTAAAGATCAACGTAGCCCTTTTCTAAAGCTTTTAAAAATAATGAAAATGAACTATTATATGAAATCCAGCAGTGGAAGCATGTATTGATTTTAAATGGCGTGCATCGAGAAATTATTTTTTACGTCACATTTTATTATTCATAGCCTTTACGCTCACGTTTGCATTCTATATGGAACTTTCGAAACCTATGAAATTAATGAATCTTTATTATTCTTTTATGTTCTTATTTTTTATTTCGGATATTATCTTTTGGCGACGGAATTTTTACAATTGAAAAACGAGGGTTTTAAAAAATATTGGAGCATATATAATTTTTTTGATCTTGCATCAATTATCGTTTCAATATTTACGATGATAAACAATCTTAGGATATACTTTAAATGGGCTGAAATCACAAGTGGTTCTGATTATGACACATCTGAACCAAGTGAATGGTATTATTACCAATATCTTAAAGAACACGGTGTAACAGTTAGTGATGATATTAAAGAAGTCGTAATTCCGCAAGCATTTTCGGTCTTGCTTTTATGGTTTGAATTAGTAAGTACCTGTCATATTTATTAAATATTCATTCTTTGTTATTAATATCTTAATTTATTTATCTAGATATTACTGACGCGATTCTTCTCGGATAAATATCTTTATTGTATTCATTTACTTTATGATTAAATTTGCGTATCATCAACTAAATTATTTTTTTTATTTCAAGGTACTGCGACTTACATTAGCATGATTATAAATATCTTAAAAGCTATTTTGCCATTCCTAATTTTTATGGTAAATTTTTATCATGCAATTATAAGTATTATTTAAATGGAGCATACGACAATTGATTAATTTATTTATTTTTAAAAAAATGTGTAGTTAATGACAATCGTTGCTTTCGGTCATGCAATGGTATGCATATTTGGTTTCTTTCCTTTTTTTTTATCATCAGAGATTTGCTATAACAAGTATTTCATTATTTTTTTTTTAATTAAATTCAAAAATAATTAGTATATCATTTTACGATATCCTAATGATATTGGTTTAGAGCCTAACGGCGACAGCTATGTGGTAGACTCTCCATATCCGGACGGCACCATAGACTTTAAAATTTCACAAGATTTTGATATGGAAAATCCCATCGATAATTTTTATGTATCATTTGCGCATTCTGTTATGGGAGTTTATTTTTGGATTCTTGGAAGATGGGATCAATTAGAAGTTTGGGATTTCTGACCAGTTCACGTATTAAGTATAGATAAATATTTCATGTTGTCTGATATATTTAACGTGTTAAATAATCATGTCAAAATTAAAAAAATTTTATTTTGATTTTTAGCCGCAAGCATATTATTGGTCATCATCATGCAGAATTTGTTGGTCGCATTTATGATGGGTGTGTATGACGAAGCAAAAAATAATGTTAAGTTATCGGTGTTAAATTATAGAGCTAATTTGATCGCTGATTATGAACCGTTAGAAAAACCTTTTGGTAGTCAAGAGGGAATCCGAGATATATTTATTATGTTGGAAGTCTAATATTAAGAAGAATAGTTATATAAAGCTAAAAATTATAGGAAAACTCATAAATCATTACTTGTTGAAGTTATTAATAGCCAAATCCTAAAAGGCACTAATGATAAATGTTGTAATTAGACAGTGTTGCCCTCAACATCATCTGTTTAGCAATTCAATTTTATTCATTTAAATTAGTAAATCATAAATAGCAAAGCTTTCAAATGCTAATTAATTAAATAAATAATCAGAAAAATATAATATTAAAACAATGAAATTACAAAGTTAAAGTATCAAAATTATGAAGTTTTTTAAAATTTCAAAAGCGAAAAGGAAGGAATAAGGTGTACGTATAAATAAAGGAAGGTGAACTATGCTAAAGAACTTAAAAAACTTGCTAAAATTCCAAGATAAACCCAGCATACAGCGGCGATCAAAAGTATTGCATCACCTGAATACAAAAAATATCTTGTAATTAAAAAGGCGCAGTGTTACAAAACTTAAATATAGAATTCGTCATACCTTAATCTTTATCAATCTCTTTCATCTTTTTTTTTAAGAATATTTTTTTTTTTTTTGTTATGAATCTTTCGCCAAAGAGGCGATGCATTTTTTGATCGATTTAAGAAATAAACATCAACACAAATTACGCGATTTTTTTTGCTTCAAATCAACTATTCGACACATAAAAAAGATGCCTTATGGCATTTTTCGCCTCTTTGTAATTTTATAAACTAGATCAGGTTGAGGTGCGGCGACTCTGTATGATCTTTTTCTTATTATCTATTGTACAAATTTTATTTTTATATTTGGAATTATTACTATATAATTCTTTTAATGTAGGAGCATCTGAAATTGGTTCTATTATGTTTTATCATCTAATATTTGAATAATTTGTCATTGTTTTATTATTTTTTTTTTAATTTATTTAATCCCTTAATTTTATTTTATTTTATTAATTTTTATCCCCAGAACGTTTTATTTATTTATTTTTTTTTTTATATTTTTTTATTCGTCCTTCATTCGTTACATCTACCCCGTTCTTTTTTTTTTCCTTCTTTTATTCCTCTTTTAATTTATAATTTTTTTTTAATTTTATATTCTTATTTAATTTGTCCCCCTTTCCCCCTATTTATTTTTTTTTATTTGTCCCCCCCCAAGAAACATGAGCAACCAATAAAATTATTGTGTACATCACAAATATTTCAATGTAACAAATAAATACTTATGCATCACATTATTTTTACAAATTTTCTTTTTTTTTTTTTTTTTTGTTTAATAACAAATTAACTTTTTACTGTAATTATCAATGTTAAAAAAATATTCAATCATATTATGGCTTCTAATTCAATTATTAATTGAAATAGGTTGCCAAACGACTCCTTTCAAGCCAATACAACGACACGGTCATACAGCTACACTCATAGATGATAAATTATATATTTTAGGTGGAAGAAATCATGATAATATAATAGTTGGCATAGAATTTTTTTATCTTGACGTCTCTGTTCCATTTAATACGCAAAATATATTGTGGAATGATTTAACAAGCATTAATACGGTTCCAGCACATGTCGTTGCAGCATCCGTTAAGGGTGGTGCAAATAATAAAACTTTGATATTGTATGGAGGATTTCCTTTTAATAATGCAGCAATGGATTTAGTTTATACATTTGATACTCAAATAAATTCATGGATTTCAGAAATGCCTGGTGATATTATTATTAGAAAAAATAGTTTAAAAGGCATTGTTGATTATAATTGCAAAATGTATTTGTTTGGCGGAGAATCTAAAAGCATTGATGTAAATGATATGCTTATATTTGATACAATAAACTTGAATTGGGAATTAGGAAGTTCGATTAATGCGCCTTCTCCAAGGAAATATTATGGTGCAATTTTATTATCAAATCAGCTAATTCTTTACTTGGGTAAACGAATAAATCTCATAATAAATTTACATGCTACGATATTAAATTTACTAAACATTTATTTAAGGTGGCGAAGTTGACTATAATGATGATGTTCATAAATCATTAAAAGAGGTAAAGTGAATTAAATAAATTAATAATATTAAAAGAAAGCCAATATATTTATTGATAAATCTTAGGTCTACTTATATGATACGATTAACGACAGTTGGAGTACTAAAGTAGGTTAATTACTTTATAAAATAAATCCCCGTTTTACTCGATAGCATTTTAACTAATTTCATTTACTAATTTAGATATCTTCGGGTACAATTCTTCTTATAGAAAGTATTATTCTGCTGTTCTTGGTAAGAGCTCTTTTCAATAAATGTTACTGAAATAATTAAATACTAGTTAAACATATCATTATTATGTTTGCTAAAAAAGGATTGGATGGGCTTCATGTAATAATTTTTGGAGGATCCCTTGTTGAACCCCAAGATACGCTTTATGTATTAGATTTAATAAATTACGAATGGTATATTCCAAAAACTTCTGGGAAAATTCCAAAAACCAGAATTTGGCATGAAGATAATGTAATTGGGAAATATATGGTCATATCATTTGGTAAATATACTTGTTATTATGCAATTTATTTATAAATAAGCAATTACTAAAATTAAATATTAAATTTAAAAAGGATTACCTTATCAATATCATCAATCTGATCCAAAAATTGAAAATGATATTTTATTGCTTGATATTAGTAATAATAAAGAATATATTTGGACGAATATTTTTGATCCAATAGTTCCAACAATTAATTCAAAAGGTTCAACAAATGATTCATCTACTAATTCTTCAAAGGATCCGCCAGCATCTTCTTCAAAAGTCACATTACCAATATCAGCTATAGTTGGCATAGCTATAGGATCATTAGTCGTTGGTATTTTACTATCATTTGGGGGTACTTTTGTATATAAATTGAATAAAAATATAAAGGAAACTCAAGCAGCAATACCAACGCCTGGAATTGAAGAAAGTAATGGCTAAGAAACTATAGCAATTACTGTTCAGAGTGCGAACAATTATGGTCGAGAATGGATATTATGGTTATGACAACAAATGCCTGACAGTTATATTTATATCAATTACAATTTTATATGCTCTTTGATTATAGTTGCTGAATTATATGATAATATAATAATTCAGAATATTGAGCCAACTCCAAATTTAATATTTTAATTTTATGAATAATATTTGAATAAATTTATAATTTTTCGACTAACATTAAGACCTTGTTGCATTTTATTAATTTTAATATAATATCTTACTGTATCTTTAGCTAAGTAACAAGCAGAATTTTGTGAATAATTATCGTTGCAAAATTTTATTATGTAAACTTTATATACCATGGGATCCGTTGGTCACGTTATCTGAAAAATACAGTTTTAATTTTAAAATATTAATAAATTTTGATAGTTTAAATGAAATACATTATAAAATGTTAGAGATAATCGGGTTTGGCGTTAGGGTGGGTTTTACAGATATTAGATGGTTATACATCACATTGCATCATGTTGTTCACGGCTGAAAGTCTTACAAATTGTTTTTGTAATACTAGTAGGTTTCTAATTATGAACCACCACGAACAAGTAATACCCTCGAAGTTGGTTATTTGAGACTTTGATATTCTGGATTCGAGTTGTGGTGTTTCGGATCAAACCCATTTCCTTTGTAAATATGAATTAAATAAATTTACGTTGAAATGGTATCTACTCTATCTAAAGGATAAAATTCGAGCTATTTTTAAAGAAAAATAGGAAAATAAAAAATTATTGATCAGAAAAAGCTTATTTTATAATTACGGATGAATTTTGTATCGGCCACAATATATGTAAGATATTCATGACGCCATCCAGCTCATAGCTTCGTCGATATTTAAGACGACACAATATTTTGTTTGTAACCAATTTTTTGAATTACTCCGTGACTAATTTATAAACTTTGTAATTAATTCGCTGAATCGTCCTTACTATATATCATTTCAGTTGATAAGACGAACCTAAAATGTATTATTTATCTTATTTGAATTCATATTAATTAAAAATTCAGACATAATACGTTAATAAATAGTACTAAATATAATTTTAAATTATATCAGTAATATAAAAAATAAATTACAAAATAAAATTTTGATGTTTATAAGATCGGGTTTGAGTTTTAGAACTAGAGTTAGCGGCTTAGAATAGATTACTTTCATAAAACATTACTACTTTCTTTTTTTTTTATTAAATATTTATTAGTTATTTACCGCGAAATCAGAGATATCATCAGGCGTCACGGCCCTGATGATGTCGGCGATATTGAGCGGTAAAAACTATTATAACTAATGCCCGTGATAAGAAAAATCACATGAATTATGTAAAGTCACATGTTATTATGGCGGCGTAAAAATACTTTTTTTTTACATTATAATTATTTTTTTTTTAATTTATTTCTTAAAAATGAAATTAAAGAAGACCGTAAAATTTAATACTACTCGTGAACTTTTAAACAATCCATGTTAAAACCTAAAGCATTCAAAATTACTGACATTGAAAAGGTAATTTTATTTTATCAAAACAAGTCACAGATTCAAAAGCTCTTTGAAAAAATATGATCGAATCTTACCTACAAGATGATCAATATATTATTCCATTGAATCTTATTTCAGATATGTCTATATTAGAAAATCAGGTGGCAAGATTATATTGCTACTATGAAAAAAAAAAGATAGAACTAATACAAAACATTATCAATAAGACAAGCTGTTGATGGGATTAATTGATATTTAATAGAATTTCAACTATTATGAAATCAATTTATATGATTGTCATCAATATTCTATTTTAACAAAAGTTCTTAATAGTATAATGAAAGAATTACAAGATAAAGGATTTGAAAAAATAAAAGGATTTACTGCTTTACACTAGAAAAGTAAGATTATTTGATATAAAATTTGATTTAAATTTGGCTGATTTTAAAAAATTTGACCTAAATTAGTAATCATACACAATTTGACTAAAATTCAATTCTGCAGAAAGATATTTGAATTGCATACTAATTTTTTAT